GGAGGAAGAGTGAGAACGTTAAGAGCGATCGAGAAACAGTTGAATACTTAATCGTCGGTAACTCATTAGTAATCCGAGACACTCTCGAGTCGCGTGGATATAATGCAGAGGCTCGATCAGAGAACGATTCGAGAAACCAACCAGGATAACTTTGCGAGAGAATTTACACTGTTTGCCCTAAAAATTCATGCATAAAACAAATAAAAATAAAAAGCACACTTGGAGGCTTTCACAGCAAGGATTCAAACATGGTTGCTATTGTATCAGATATTTAAAAGTTATGTGTTATTCATAATTTTTGATAAAACTTGTAAAAAACTTACAAGTACTTACTCGACTGAATTTCGGAAAATTTACCATAATTTTCTATAAGAGAACGAACAAACACTTGTTTCCATTGCATTATACTTGGAGTATCTATTAATTTCTTTGCTAAAAATGAATACACTATAATTGTCGGTGGTTCTAACGTTAGTTGCAAAGGTTACGGGATGTTTAGGTTAGTATATTGTGCAGATTACGTAGTTTCGAGGTTCCCTAGTAAGAAACGAAAGAGTTGACCGTCGAGGCGGAGGACGAAGGGAACTCGATAGCTCCTGGAGGAAAAGACGCCATTCGAGGGAGAAAAATCTTGGTCGTCCGGGGAGACGAATCGTCTGGTAAAAATCGATCGACGCCCGCCTGCATCGGTATTGCGTCAGGGACACCGACGCGACGACGACGGTCCCCTCTTAATTTCGAAGCGACGCTAGCTATCCATGATCCACCGACGCCGTGGAACACGAGGAATGGAAATTGAGGCGCGACATCCGTGAAACGAGCCGATTCAATACAAACAGGAACGCGAAACTAAATTACGCCCTTCGATGCCGTTTAAACGAATTTACGAGATCGTATCCGAGCCTCGTCTACGTCTCCCGGATACTACGATTCTTGTTTCACTGGCAACTATGGCGATCGTTGCAAAATGATATTAGTCACGATTCATTTTTGTAACAACATCTAGAGAAGAATGTTTAAGTAACTGGTTTCTAAACGAAACGATAGCAAGTTATAATATATAGTATTAAAAAAACCCTAATAGGTCTCTTCACTGTGGGGCTTCGTTTTCGAGATATTTTCGGTAAAGAATTTTTTTCTCGAAAGTACGTAGGATTTCGAGGGTGTGTGTATTCACAAAAAATGATTGTAAGTGACCCCCGGAACCAACAATAATTTTTTCAAAACGATTTGAAATTTTTTTTTCAATCAAAAAATTTCACAATTTGGTGAATTTTTTTCTCGAAAATGCGTAGGATTTTGGGGGTATGTTTATTCACCAAATATTATTGTAAGTGACCCCCGGAAACGAAAATAATTTTTTCAGAACGATTTGAAATTTTTTTTTCGTCGAAAAATTTCACAATTTGTCGAATTTTTTTCTCGAAAATGCGTAGGATTTCGTGGGTATGTTTGTTCACCAAAAATGATTGTAATTGACCCCCGTAACCGAATATAATTTTTTCAGAATGATTTGGAATTTTTTAATTTTGTCGCATTTGTCCATCTACTCGAATTTTTTTCTCGAAAATGTGTAGGATTTCGAAGGTATGTCTATTCACCAAAAATGATTGTAATTGACCCCCACAACCGAATATAATTTTTTCAGAATGATTTGGAATTTTTTAATTTTGTCGAATTTGTCCACCTACTCGAATTTTTTTCTCGAAAATGCGTAGGATTTCGAGGGTATGTATATTCACCAAAAATGATTGTAATTGACCCCCACAACTGAAAATAATTTTTGCAGATTGATTTAGAATTTTTTTTTTCGTCGAAAAATACACAACTTGTCGAATTTTTTTCTCGAAAATGCGCAGGATTTCGGGGGTATGTATATTCACCAAAAATGATTGTCAGCGACCCCCGGAACCTAAAATAATTTTTCCAGAACAATTTGAAAATTTCTAATATCCTGTATATGTATAGGGTTTTTTGATACTAGATATATACCATAACTTGCAATTTCGACGACAATAAGGTCCTCTTGCGAGAGTGATCGTGGCAACGCGTTATTAAAAATGAAATGAAAATATGAATCCAATGAAATATTCACGATTTCCAATTTCCACTCTGGAAATAAAGAAAAGACGATCGCAACGTGGAGAAATAACATCGCAAATTGGATCGGAAGTAGAATTTTTAATTCGCCACGGACAAAGGAATTGTCAAAATGGAAACTGAAAGGGAATAGTAAGGGGTGGGAAACGAGGATGGTAGGGGTGAAACGGGTAAAGGTGGTAGGTGGTGGGGTGAAAAGGGGGAGAGGTCCGAAGGAGAAGGAGCCTTCTCGGTTACCGGGTCTGGCGATCGGGTAATCGTATTATAGTCGGTAATTACGAGACCGCTCGCAGTGGTACAGGAGAAGCCTGTAGCTCGGGCAAAGTACCGGGCAGGGTTATGCAGATTGCTTTATAACCTTGTTACCGATCGCTCTATTAACGTCGCGAGCTTGATACCCGGAGACTCCCTTTCGCCAACGGGAAAGGACGCGCGAGAAAAGACGACCCAACGAAACAAATATACCACTTCCTCTTTTCTTGCAGTCGAGTCCTCACTGTCACATTTCTTCCAAAGAGATTCCAGCAACACCTGGTTGTACAAACTCACTGTTAACTCGAGTCCATACTGTTGCAAGTATCCCTAACGCAGATTGGTGCAAGAAATTGAATAGTAGTAGGCTGAGGATAGAGATTCGAGCAAGACTTTGATTCTTTATAACTTGGGGACCTTAAGCTAACCTTTTACACGACTGTTGACCACTTGAATCCATCCCGTTGCAAGTATCCCTAACGCAGATTGGTGCAAGAAACCGAACACAGTGTTTGGATGAGGATAGAGGTTCGAGCAAGACTGATTCTTTATAACTTGGGGACCTCAAGCTAATCTCTTACACGACTGTCGACCAGTTCATCCTGTTGCAAGTATCCCTAACGCAGATTGATGCAAGAAACAGAACACAGTGTTTGGATGAGGATAGAGGCTCGAGCAAGACTCTTTACAACAAGATTCTTTACAACTGGGAGACTTCAAGCTAACCTTTTACACGACTGTTGATCACTCCATCCTATCGCAAGTCACAGATTGGTGCAAGAAATCGAACAGTGGTAGGCTGAAGATAGAGGTTCGAGCAAGATTTTGATTCTTTACAACTTGGGGATCTCAAGCTAAGCTCTTACACGACTGTCTACCACTTGAGTCCATCCTGTTGCAAGTATCCCTAACGCAGATTGCTGCAAGAAATCGAACACTGATAGGCTGAAGATAGAGGCTCGAGCAAGATTTCGATTCTTTACAACTTGGGGATCTCAAACTAACCCCTTACACGACTGTCTACCACTTGAATCCATCCTGTTGCAAGTATCCCTAACGCAGATGGGTGCAAGAAACCGAACACAGTGCTTGGATGAGGATTCTATAGCCTCCAAGTGTGAATATTACACAATAAAATACAGTGACTCATATTTGGAAATACAATACTGCCTCTTTTCTTGCAATCTACTGTAAAATTCCGTACGTGGACGCTTATATCTGACTTTGTTCTTAAGGCTGAACAAACTCGAGTGTATTTTGAATTACATAACAAGTTGAGATCTCAGGAAAAAAGGTGTAATTGTAAAGATCTTTCTCACGAATCTCGTCGAAGCTCGAAGAAAAATGGTGGAACCGTTCGTTTTCTAATCGCGATACGCACAGGCCCCAGAACGATAAATTAACGTTTCCCCGGAATAAAGTTTCTTGTACCATCGCGTTCCGCCATTCTTCCAGCCATCGTTTGTTCTCGACAAGGAGAACGTGGTCGTTGGGCGGTCGAGCGATCTCCAGGGGAAAGACGGACCAGACGATTCGAGGCAGAAGCTGCGAATGACACGCGGAAATGAGGGTACGGTCTCGAGCACGAATTCAAACCCGACGAATCTCGATTACGAACAAGCCGGTCGCGGCGGAAATTCAACGGAAAGGAATCTCTCCTCGAAAGGGCAAGGTTTCGTACCCCGTGACGAGAGCCGGAAAGAAAAGGGCTGAAGCGAGGGAAACGGCAGGAGGATCGAAAAAGGGACGATCTATCGATCGGAGATCGCGTAGCAAACCGATGTGTGCTATTTTCCCTTCTTCGAATTTATCGAAACGGGATGTTTCGATCCTCATTTTCCCAAACCGATAGTGTAACGTTTCTTAGGGTGTTCAGGTACAGTAATATACTCAAGGATATTTTAAAAAAATGTACCTTTTACCAGGGAAAAATAACTATTTCAGTCTACTCGAATTTTCAACTCTTTGATTAATTTTTAGTACAATTTTTAGTCCAAAAAATTTTCTCCCCTAGCAAGACTCGGTATTCTCAACAATTATGGAATAGTTTGAAAGAGAAACGTGTATTGGATCTTGGTATATCAAGGGCTATTTCGAACATTAATCTCGAGAATAGAAAAATGTTCTTTGTATTTTTCCAACGTTGTCAAGGAACTTTCACTCGTACACACTCGGCGAAATTTAAATACAGTTCCACGAAATGGTATACAAAAAATGGACACGTCCTGATAGTAAATCAAAATTGATTATAAAGACGATCGAATGTTAAAATATCTGTTTTTTGAATTAAAAGTAGTCTCAATCAAATATATCGAAAATCCCATCGAGAACTTTGTTTATATCCTTCTCTAAAACTCTTTAAATCGAATCCCACCGTAGTCTTACGATCGAAGAAAAGTGGATAACGTTATTTAAATGCAATCAACTTCCTAGTTCGTAAAACAAAACCAGAAACAGTTCACCGTAAACGTCGACATCGAGAAAACAATTTCCACCGTTCAAAAGAATCTAAAGACCTCCATCGAATAAATTGCCCCGCGAGTGGTTAATTTTCGCGAAAGAAAAAAAAGTCTAGTGGTACCACGTTGATGAAATAATTGGGTGATAACTGGTCGTCGCACAAATCGGGAGCACAAAGTCGTTCTTACCTATGCAGGAAGCGACGAGGCTCGATGGTAGACGGACGATCGTTCGGGAATCGTCGTATCGGTGGCCGACGATGCGATAAACTGGACGACGAGGAGCAGCCGTGCTTCCAGGTGGAAGCGCCGCAGCCGATTGAGAGCGACTAGAGCGGTAAGGGTGCATCTCACCCCGATTTTTCCGGCTCGAGGCCGTCGCACTCTCTGCCATCCGCGTCCGCGTCCGTTGTCCGCGACTCCGGCTCGTTTCTTCGCCCGTCCTCTCTTCTCGATCCTCCCGAAGATCCAGAGCAACGCGGGCAAACCGAAAGCGCATGGTCCATCGCGCCTCCGGATACCCCCACCACTACCACGCAACCCCCGCCCCCTTTTAACGTTTCGACGATCCCTTTCTCACCCTCTTCTCTGCCCTCTGTTCCCACTTACACCACCCCCCTCCCCTCCATCCCTTTAACTTTATCCCTGCGTCCTGGGTCCTGCGACTCCTCGACTTATCGTTCCCATTATTAGCTTGCTAACTAAATTTCGACGCTACTTTGAATATCCGATAGCCTCAAAAACTCCAAATACTCGCTCGATGCAAAATTAATTTTTTTTCATGTTGGTTTATTCGATAGTTTTCATCCTCAAATAGATATTTTTTCGTCATCTTTGAGACTCGTGGAACCGCCTCGCGACTTGTTTTTCACTGAATATTCTTTTCTCGAAGTGGTAGAGATTTTAGAAATCGAAAATATTCGATTGCCTCAAAAACTCGAAATATTGGCTACATGCAAAATTAATTTCTTTATTCGATAGTTTTCACCCTCGAATAACTCTTTCCTCGTCATCCTTGAGGCTCGTGTTATTTGAGCTCGTGGAGCTCCTTTTCGACTTGTTTATCACTGAATATTCTTTTCTCGAAGTGGTAGAGATTTTAATAAATAAAAACTCTCTCGAAAAGATCAATTTTTTATCAACCCAATAGAAACTTATCTCCCCCATTATTAGCTTGCTAACTAAATTTCTGACGCTACTTTGAATATCCGATAGCCTCAAAAATTGGAAATATCGAGCCCATGCAAAATTAATCACGATATTTTGTATACAATTTCGTTCAAAAGTGTTATAACCATACATAAAAAGATTTGAACTCATGGAACCAGCTCTCAGCTTGTTTTTCCACTGAATTTCCAGGCAAATAAAAAATCCTCCGAAAAGATCGTAGTTAATTTTGCAGGAATCTTATGGAAACAGCGAATGTTGGCCTGGCGTAAGAACGATGATCGCACGGAGGCTGTTGGCCTGTAACCAGAATGATCCGAAGATCTTGGAAGCATTGTTATCTACCCCGTGGCAGCCACGCGTTTACCAAAGGCCGTGACTCGGAATTATCAATCCTCTGAACCGTAGAAAATGACCCAAGAGAGAACGTCCTTGCGTGCAATAGTACTCGAGATGGTTTCATTCAAGCACCCTCGACGATACGGAGAATATCGAGGGGGCTAGTCCTTTACCTTTCGTTCGTTGCAATTTTCATTTAACCCTCCAGTGGATTGTTCCATGTTTAAAAATTGTTCGATATATGTCGATGTAATTATTTGATAATTTATGTAATACTCCATTATTTTTTAAACCCTTTAAGGGGTAAGACCGTGAGACTGTAAAAACCTGAAATAAAGCGCTTTTTTTTTGATGGATGGAAAAAGTAAGAGGATAATAATATTCAAGAAGATTAGTAAGTCGTTAAAAATAGTGCAAAATGACGACGTTGGGAAAAAACACACAGTGCAACTGACGCAAATTTGTATCTGGAAAAGAACAAAAAATTTTCTCTTAATCTACATGAGTATAGCTAGAGAAATACTTAGGGGATTTTTGAAACATTAATTTTTGTGTGATTGGCGAGCATTTGAAGTAGAAAATTCAATTTTGTACAAAAAAAGGAGCAATCATTTGTCACTAAATATTGTAAAAATTAATTTATCGAAGATCCCCTATGTATTTCTCTAGCTATACTCATGTAGATTAAGAGAAAATTTTTTATTTTTTTCAATTACACTCAAATTCAAAAGCATCATCATTTTGCACTATTTTGTAATAAACATATTTTTTTTTAACACTTAACGACATGATTAATAACATTCTTGATTATTATTATCTTCTTACTCTTCCATCCATCAAAAAAAAAAACCGCTTTATCTCAGGTTTTTACAGTGGTCTAACCCTTTAAGGTTGATTTCCATTAACCAATTTGGTAAAAATTAACATCGAGTAAAATAATCCAGTCGAGATCGAGAGTCCGCTTAATAAATCCAAATTGATTATAAAGACAATCAAATATTAAATATAGTGGAAGTCTGAATTTTGTTTATATCTTCCTTGGTGGTTCCATCGCGTATTTGCGACAACAATAAAACTCTCGAAATCGTCAAATCCTCCGTTAGTTCATTGTTTTTTAAATGCTTCAAAGTTGATTTCCATTTACCAATTTGGTAAAAATTAACATCGAGAGTTCGCTCAAGGGTTAGACCAGAGAATCTTATCTCTTATCCAGAGGTTATCGTATTTTCCTTTCAATTCTTCCAGTCTACTCCTCGCCCCCTTTTTACGCTACGATGCTTCCACTGTTTCGCCACCCACGAATCCTTCCCCCCTTTCAGAGCATGTGTCGTCGTGGGAAAATGGGGGGTTTCGGGTTGCAAGAACAACTCTACTCAGTGCTGGTTCTGGGGTAAGTGTCAAGAGGTCAAGCTTAGTGTTCTTACCAGAAGGCACCCTTGCCTTCCCCAGATCCTCAAGGAACAGAGTTCCTATTCTTTAAAGAAAGGCAACGTGTCGGGTCGCTTGCCTTTTTCTAACATACCTACGTTTACTTTCGACAAGCAATCCTACCTAACCCAGACCTAACCAAGACCTTTTTTTTTGTTAACGCGGAGGAAATCTTCAAAAAGACACCCTGGCTTTGGGATGCCAGGATAGTGTGGGATTCTTATCCACTAAAACCTCCGCGGTGGCCTTCCTTGGACGTATAGAGGAGAGCTCTGGGAACTGTCGATCCATCCAGTGCCCCTTCACGCCAATGCTCTTGCCCATCTCGGGATCTACCCACTCTTCTCTCTAACAGGTGTCGCACGGACCACTCGTGCTTCGCCCCCTTCCCTGATCGCTTATGTGCAACAGCTACCCAAGCCCCCATAACTTGGGCAGCCCGCGATCCGCGATGATCGCCATCCCCGATGAGGCCCAATGCCGCGTCATCGAAGATGGGGATGAAGGCGCTCTCGCTCACCCAACGCAAGTGAGCAGGATGCTCAGGGGTCGGGAGGCGCCACCGGCCTGTTCCTCCCCCTCCATCTGCCCCTTCCAACTCTTCCTCTGCGATGAGGATCTCCTCTACTCTCTCTTTCTCTTTCCGCGGCCTTCTTCTAGACCTAACCAAGACCTAACCCAGACCTAACCCAGCCATCGATGGGCATCTGGATTGTGTCCTTGCAACCATCCCTCTTAAGTCCCTATCATAAATCGTTTGAAAACGAAATATCGTCGAGCTAATTGTCCTCGAGGTTAAAAATAAGCCGTTGCTAACAGGGTGTTGGCCGTCAGAGGTCCAAAAGTGAAGATCGCGAAAGTTCTTTCGGGATGGATTCGACGAGCGGGGGTAGTTGGATAACCAGTATGGGGGCGTAGAAGCGGTATTCGTCGAGCGAACGCCATTAAGATTACGACACGAGGGATAGCCGCGGAAGAATGAGAGATACCGGACGAGGGGGGTAGCGCGTTTCGAGGTCAGAGGGAACGCGAAACTCTCCAAGAATTCTCGACGCGCGGACTAGGAGCGGGGCTTTATTAAACCGCCTTTTATCACGTTCCAGAAACGGAGCCGAGTCTGTCGTCGTTCCCAGCCTCTTCCATTGCCCGCGTAAATGTCGAGGAAACGCTATCGATCGACGAACCAAGGCCGAACGGGAAGCACCAGTCTTCGACCAAGTCCGTTTCGTCCACCAGGATCCACGTTCGGCACCAGGGGTGAGTAAAATCCACTTTGAACCCACGATCAAACTTGTAATCTACGTAAATAGCGTCTAAACTTGGTCTGCAATCCGATCTTTATTTAAACGTACAATTTTTAGCCACGTTAGATTGCAAAGTTTACTAATTTTCGTCTGCACCGGGTTGTCTCAAAATCGGAGCTCTCTAATTGCTTACTTTCTAGGGAATAATTTCGAGGGTATTTGTTTCTCGAAATCGAATCTTGGCTAGCATAATTAACAGCTGGTCCGAAGCTGGAGATACGGCCGCGAATCGAACCGTTACTTACCACCTGTGGAGTCGAACGAGAAAGCGATATAGAAATTCCAGGCAGGAAGCCGGTTCACTTGTTGATATTAGGAAACTCTAGGGAAAACGCACGAGGTGCAACTTGTTGCTAACGCGGACCGTTTCGTCGATTCTCCAATTCACGTTGCAGGTCTCGCCTCGAAATTCAGGAACACCTGTAGAATCCTCTGGCAAATGGAGCTCGATGGGGACCATAAGCAACCGCAGGACCACACCCAGGCCGAATTTTATTCGCGACCAACGAATGAAAAATGTTTGGATCGAGTGGTCGCGTCGATCTTAACTCTGTAACTATAATACCAAAAGCGCCAATAGGCGTCTGCGTTGCCTTTTCGCGTTTTGCATCAAAATCGTCCGTGGTAAAAGGGTTAAATCGATTCTTGCGCGGGAATCGAAGGTTCTCTCGCGGCGATCGTCGGGAACGAAGGTATCGAGGGTGGAGAAAAACCGTGAAAAATATCCATCAACGGGATAGAGGGAGAGGAAGGATCCTGACCTGTCCACGGCAGACACTCCTCCATCACGGTATACCCATCTTCCGTGTAATTAATTCGAGGAGGTACGGATGGATCGCGAAGGGGAAGATTGCCTCCAGTGGCATCGGCCACTTACCAGCTCTCCTCCTCCTCCCACGACTCGCCATCTTCTTTTCCACGGTTTCGTTCCGTGTATGGTCGGTCAGTAGCGATTATACAGGGTGTTCGGCCACCCCTGAGAAAAATTTACATGAGCAATTCTATAGAGGTTAAAACAAGACGAAAATCAAGAATATTTGTTGATGGAGGCTTCATTCAAAAATTATTAACAATTAAATTCAAACATTTCAAATCGTTCTGGAAAAATTATTTTCGGCTGCGGGGGTCAGTTGCAATCATTTTTGGTCATTAGACATACCCTCGAATTCCTATCCATTTTCGAGAAAAAAAATCGTGCAGGTGCTGGAATTTTTCGGTGAGAAAAAATTTTTCAAATTGTTCTAAAAAAAATATTTTCGGTTGCGGAGGTCGATTATAATCATTTTTGGTCATTAGACATACCCTCGAAATCCTAGGCACTTTCGAGAAAAAAATTCTTTACCGAGAATACAATGTCTGATCAATGTCTGATTCCCCTGAAATTGCATGCGTATGTTTAAAATGTCATAACTTCTGAACGGATTGGAGGATTTTAATGTTTCAAAGCGCAAACAACGCGTATTTTAGTGGAGAATGTGTAGAAATTCTAACAATATTGAAAAAGTTGTTCCTTGACACCGTAAATTGAGAAAAACCCCCCTAAAACTGGTTCAATTTTCAAACAGCCATAACTCCTACAATAATACAGGTATCTCATTGAAATTTTTTCCTGAAGCGGAGGCCATGGGTACCTACAAAAAACTATTAGACAACTTTTCTGTAGAGCGTTAAACAAATTTATTAAAAATGGAAAACAAATTTTTAAGAAAAATCGACAGGGGGTAGCTGCTGAAATTTTTCAGCGAAATTGAAAAGATTCAAATCGTTCTGAAAAAATTATTTTCAGTTGCAAGGATCAATAGCAATCATTTTTGGTGAATAGATATAACCCCGATATCCTACGCAGTTTCGAGAAAAAAATTCAAAAGATGCCTAAATTTTCGGCAAAAAAAAATTTTTTCAAATCGTTCCAAAAAAATTATTTTCGGTTGCGGGAGTTGATTACAATCATTTTTAGTCATTACACATACCCCCGAAATCCTACACACTTTCTAGAAAAAAATTCGAGAAGTTTTGAAATTTTTCGACGGAAAAAAAAATTTCGAATTGTTTTGGAAAAATTATTTTCGATTGCGGGGGTCAATTACAATAACTTTTGGTGAATAGACATACCCCCGAAATCTTGCGCATTTTCGAGAAAAAAATTCCGTACGAGCGGAACTTTAAACATTAATAACTTTTTAACGAAATCTCAGCCGAGAAATTGATATTCTTGATTTTCGTCTTATTTTGGCATCTAGAATCCCTCATTAAAATTTTTTCCAAATATTTGCGTTTTCACCAGACCTGGTACCATTTAGTGTTCCCATTTGGGACGTTTTCTATTAATAATATACAGAATGCACTTAATATGCATAAATATAAGAAATACGCGTGATACGAATTATTGTATTTACGTTTTGGAACGTTCCAAATCGATTCCCTCTTATATCGTCACGAACCCTAAAGACACTTTGAGAGAATTCGCTGTGTCGACTGTCCGAATCTTCCAAAAGAGAAACGACACTAGGGATTCGAGAGAGAACGACTAAGAGATTACAGAAAAACTCACTCGACTCAGAATCTCCGAATAATCCGGGGGACACGTGACTTGCAATAGATAGAAACGCCCATAAGTTTCTTCCAAGAAGCTTTCATCGATTGAAATTCGAACGATTTTTTTATGTATTTGTCTCGTTGAATATCGGAACACCCTGTATAAATTCTACCAGAAAATTTCGAATATCCGTAAAAGACGAGGACCAAAACGCCCGGACGTGATCATCGATAGGGAGGCCAATAGCGTTCCACGGATGCAGCCTCGAGCTGATAACGAGCAAAGTAAACGGCCCCGCGACAAGATGGCCGACTCTGATCGGGAGAATTGCCCTCGTCGAACGTGAACGTGGTTTTCCATCTTCGAGCCAATGCTCGCGAAAAAACGCTGTCTCGCGACTATAGTCGTTCCCAACTATTTTGGTCGATCGTAGACAATCTCCCTTTTATCCTGTCGCAGCGAGCCTGGGCATTTTGTCAATACGCGAGGGTCGATCGACGATCGAGACCTGTAATTTATTTTCGTCCTCGCCCAATATCCCGTAACGAACGTAACCAAAATGTTTGGCTCGGAGACCGGACGAAAGACCAAAAAGAAAATGGAACGCGCTCGGGAAAGAAAATCGATGCCCATCCGGAGCGGTGAATTACATCGAAATCCTTTTTCTCTGCTACTCAGCTTCCTTTCGCGTATTCCCCGCACGAGCCAACTTTGCGTCGGTCAACGTCTTTCTCCCCTTGCACTTCCTAAGAAGACGAAAATTATTGCGTTTTTATTAAATCGTAACTCTCGCCACATTTAGTTTCAACTCTCACAATTGACAGCGTTAGAGTTTAATTTTATTCTGAATCAATAAGGTTGGATTTGACAGTGAAATAGGAAAAAGAGTCTGGAATAGTGTTTCTCAAATTTCTTTTGGTATTTCATGTCCCGAGTTTTATTTGTTAACACTTTACCGACCGGTAGTCTATTAATCGACTTTTTACCGACTAACGCATTACCGACCGGTAGCTTATCAATCGGTTGTCATGAAAATAAAAAATATCACTAGATTTAATTAAAGAGAACGATATAGTAACCACTGTCCTCAAAGTTTCATTTAACACTTTACCGACCGGTAGCGGTTGATTAATCGGCTATCGGTCGGTAAGCGTTGGTCGGTAAAAAAGTTGATTAATACGCTATCGGTCGGTAAGTGTTGGCCGGTAAAAAAGTCGATTAATAGGCTATAGGTCGGTAATGTGTTAACATTCCTATAAGTTCAAGAAAAAGTAGATATATAATCTGGGGTCAATCGGTACCGGTCGGTAAAGTGTTAAAATAGTTGGCGACTTCTTGATTAAACACCTGCTGTTTCCCGTGTGAGGGAACAAACACTTTTCTATGTTTTGGTAATTTTATCAAATTCGATAGTTGGATCACAGACGAGGTATACGAATTGACCTTTCACCTTATGGACTTTTCTAGCCTAATCTTACTGCCATACCAATCTCACAATTCGGAGATGATTTTAGCACAGACATTGTATACAAATTGACCTTTCACCTTATGGACCTTCCTGGCCCAATCTGACTGCCATACCGACCTGAAAATTGAGAGCTGCTTTTAGCGCCCTCTTCTCATGGGTGGCGGGTCAGTTGACAAACTATTTACTGAATTAGTATTGATGAGCAGACAGCTGTAGTGCATCATAATTGGAACAAATTAAAATTCATTTTTTAATCTGTCGGTAACGTTGCAAATGACACGAAAATGGTAATGGGGGTTCGTGACCCCATAAAAACGAGTCGTAAAGAAACACTGGGTGAAAGATCTACTCGTACACCTCGTTTGTGCACGAACTTTCGTACCCTATCCTAACTTTCGTCCGTGATCAAAGTTCATTGCACGAAGTAGACTTCCTGGACGCTCCAGTAGATGTCTCCAATCGGTAGTCGGTACGTGCGTCGTAGATCTCTTAGATCCCTACCGACGTTCGGTGTCAGCGGTTCGCGAAACCAGTGGTCTTCATTTTATCCCAGTTTTTTTTTTTTAATATCGTCTTAAAACAACTCGAATCAAATGTGAAAAGAATCGCGTAGGAAAAATCGTTCTTTGGTATTTCCATTAACGGGTAACAAGTGACCGGAAGCGACCAGTTGCATCGAGCGATGTCAGCGTCAGAGGAATACGTGTGTTTGCTCTCCGCGGAAGAGAAGGCGTACATGGCGGCGCATTTGAACGAAACCGACGACATTAGACCCGTTAAAATTGCCGAACTTCGAGAATACATTATGGAGAACGATGATCTACGCGCGCCTATCGGTATTTGTCGTTCGACCAACTTCCGTCTCTTTCGTTTCCCTTTATTTTTGCTCCTGGAACAAAGACTCCTTGAACAAAGATCTTGTTTTCACAGACGACTTCTCTATTCTGCGTTTTCTGCGAGCCAGCAAGTTCAACGTAGAGAAAGCAAAGTGCAAGCTACGAAATTATTATAAACAGAGGTCAAACCTGCCGGAATGGTACAGCAACAGGGATCCATTTCTGCCGCAGTTGCAAGAACTCTTTGATATCGGGTAATAACAGTATTTCAATTTACGTGCGTCGAATTGCGTGCGCCAACCTCGACTGAACAATTGCATGTATCGTTATCTGTGACTTGGATTCGCGGTCACGTTTCGGATTTGGACACTTTCCCGGGGGTACGAGATCACGTTGACGCCGATAGCGTATCAGCGTCCGATAAGTTTCGACTCCATTCAAAATAAATGGACATTGATATTGCTTTGGTTTCAACGCGACGTCGAGAACGTTTTACGACTTCCATTGTGTTGATTCATGAAACAATTTTATTAACTGTTCTTTCATCAACAATTAAAAACATAAGTATCCTCATATTCAAATATATTTACAAATACATCGTTCGATTTCGAAATATTTCATTACTCGATCACGTTGACGATACTCGAAATACATCGATATCGCGATATATCGATACGTTAACCCCTTAGCTTACAATGGCGTCTCACAGGCCAAACCTAGGTGTCGCTTTTGGCACGCACAGTTGGAAATTAAGGGGTTAACCTGGTCGAAGAGGATGTGAGTTAGGTCTGGGTCCTGTTGATACAAAAAAAAATATATAAAGTCAGGTTAGGTCTGGGTTACGTCTTCATAGGGAATTTCTGCTTTCTGCGTACGATTTTCAGGGTATTCGTACCTTTGAGGAAGCTAGATAACGAGGGAAGAATGGTCGTGATAATACGCGCCGCCGTGCACACCCCCTCGAAACACAAAATGGCCGACATGCTGAAGGTAAGAAGACGATCGAATCCAAAGGGGCGTTCCGCGATTATTTTCCATATATTCAACAAAAGAAAACGTGCTCCTCTCGAGACTAATTGTTAATAGATATTATAATAGGATAGCAAAAATAATTAAGTTCTTTTTTTTTTTGTGGGGAAAATTTTCACCTCGTTGGTTACCTACTAAAAACCCCACGGTGACCCTTCCGTACGATTTGGGAGGATACCGGGGAATCCCTCGAAGCACACTTCCGGTATCCTCCGTGAGTAATTAAGAGGCTTGCATGTTTTGCGCCAGGCGTCGTTGATGGTGTTGGATTTGGCGTTGAGGGACCACGAGTCGGTCACCATTCACGGTATAACGGCCATTTTGGACATCGCCGGGATGAGCTACGAGCACGTGCTCCAATTGCCGCCGAGCGTGATTAAGAATTTGGTCCACGCGTGGCAAGGCTGCTATCCCGTCAGAATTTACTCGTTAGACTTCATCAACGCTCACAGGCTGATAAACACCGTGCTCAACATCTTCAGGAGCTTCATGAACGCCAAGCTGAAGCAGAGGGTGCACATTCACTCTCGCGGTAAATTGAAACTGTACGAAACTCTGCCGATCGACATTCTGCCGGAGGAATATGGCGGCACCAATGGCACTCTGAAGGAATTGAGCGGTACGTCTTCTGTACAGAGGCCAACCCTGGGAAAATTTTAATGGGGGATTCTAGAGACCAAAATAAGACGAAAATGAAGAATAGCAATTTGTTGACCGAGGCTTCGTTAACAAGTTATTAACGTTTAAAGTTGCCCCTGTAGAACGACAATCTCCGAACAGCTGTTGGTGGTTCTCAGTCGGTACGAGGAATTCTACTTACCGACTTATCGACGTTACAGTTTTGTGAGTGAGAACCACTAGCAACTTTAAACGTTAATAACTTTTTAACAAAGCCTTCATCAACAAATCACTATTCTTGATTTTCGTCTTATTTTGGTCTCTGGAATCTCCCATTAAAATTTTTCCCCAGGCCAATTTTTTGATGGCCAAACATTCTGTATATTTCTTAGAGAATTTCTTTGTACTCGTACTAAACGAAGGAGACAAAGGTGACTGCCTCGATAGATGTACACGGACGGATAATTAATTCCGTAGGTTTGATTGGCTTACAGAGTATTGGAAGCGGGCGGTGGAGGAGAACAGTGAGTGGTTCGCCGAGGAGGAAAAGTACAAATTGACATTGATTAAGTAACTAGATTGATTCTAATTTGCGATAACGAGCAATTGCATATGCAGTTGTTCGAGCACTCGCGACGAACTGGTACGCGATGGGCGTCGAAATATTTTGTACGTTTTTTTGTCAAAGTTTTTTTTTATACAAGAAAATTACAAGGAAAATAGAAATGTACACTGTTTCTGTATTTTTTTTTTTTTTTTTTTTTGTTTTTCTTATATGTATAACTATCCTCTCAATATATCCTTTACAGCTTTATTTCTTTTGTATCAAGAGGTCGAGGGAGAAAATTCAACTAGGAAATATAAAGTAAAAATATCGTACAATTTCGAATGATTTTTCGAGCGCGAGCAACGCGAAAACACATCGATAGCGTATAAAACACAACGGCTACGATCGTTTATATAGTACAATATAGTACATTTACGCGTTCTAGAATCGTATTGTACAACGCACGCGTGACAACGTTTGAATCGTATTTGGAAACTTGATCCTCTCAAATTTCCCCGCAACGTGTAGTTTACAATTGGGTGGAATTCGTTTCCACGTTTAATATACATATCTTGCTAAATAAAGAAAAAAAAAAAATTGCACCGCGTGTCGTGTTTACCCATCTTATTTGCGATCGTTAAAATTTAAATATACAACGTTACACTCGAGTCATGGGCAAGCGAGACTGTCTTACGTCTAATCCACTACTCTTTAACTTAACAACATACTACTCTCGATCCCATTTACATTCGGGACGTGTTTACCAGAGCACATTGTACCGGGATACAAGTACGAACGTCTCTCGTTCGTCCCGTTACGCGATTAACACGCACGTCGGATAAAAATGTACACAAAACGGTCGGGAATGGGTGAATCTCGATCGGTAACGACAGATTCCTTGCTTAACCGCGGACAAAGAACTCCGAACAAGACGACGGGTACTTGTCACGTAAAATGGCTATCCATGGTAATAAAATCCATCCCCGAGGATACTCGTTATATTACAGACTTTGAACTAAAAAGAAAGAAAAGAAAGAAAAAGAAGAAGAAAATGATCCCTGAGGATCGGGCACAGCTCTTGCAACCATTCGCGCGTTTCCATTCTTCCACGCAAGAGGGCACTGTTAGGCGAGCGCGCGCAGGGGCGTCACGTGTCCAGACGGTCCACGCACTGTCGAGGAGGTCGTCGTCGAAGCGTTTATCCTCGTTGCTTCGAGTTTTCCATCCCGGTGGCCGACCCTGATCGGATCTCACGTTCTTTGCGGCGGTTCGAACGGCTACGCCCCGCCTCTTCTATCCGCGCTTGAACTTTAGCACCATTATACTTATCGTGAGGAACAGGACTATCCAGACGATGGTCGAGATGAACCCGTTGTAGACGTCCGGCTCCACGATGCTCCAACCGCGGGTGAGCATCGAACGCAGCGACGTTGTGGCCATTGTTAAAGGTAGACCCTGGGATATGTATCGCAGAACCGTCGGCATACCTTCCACCGGCCAGATCACGCCTGCAAAATCAACGTTTACCGTACACTTTTATTTCGAGCATCTTTCACCGGAGCGTAAATCAAGAATGCGTGCGCTACTTTCACTTTTGCCGTTTGACATTTAATAATTCGAATCCGATTTTTTCTATACGTACCGCTCAATAGAAGCGTGGGGTAGAAGCTGCCTAGAGCGAGCTGGATAGCGTTTCTTTCGAGTTCACAGATCGCTGAAATCACGAACCCTGAAAACAGAAAGAAATCCACGTACAAAGATGCCCTCAACGTTCGTTGAAATTGTAGTCGAGCGCTTGCGAGAAAAATTTATTATTTCACAATATTCCGAATTAAAGTTATTTGCGAGTATTAGGACCCTTCCATTGTAAACAATATTGCAACACGTTGTTAAAAGTGTCGGTCACCGGTGACCACCGTGGCAATAAACGCGTTAAAAGTTTTATGAAAATTCGTAAAGCCAAAAACGGTGTTGCGTCGACAGGTATCGAGGGATAAGTTGCGCAAGGACCGTGCTCGATTTTAAAGTGGCGGATCCAGTTTTTTACCGAACGCAGCTGCCAGCAATTACCTGGCCCGTAAACTCGCTTTCGTTCGGCGAAGAAACGAGAACGGATTATAATTAATTTAGTATTTAAACTTTTTTAACATTTTCCCCTTACTTTGCTTACCTGACTCGCGTAAAAATTATGCGTGTTCTAAGGGGGCTTTTCACCTTTATTAAATAAATAAATAATGGCTGGCTTTGCTTGCGCAACGTGTTACGAAGAGCAACGCATCGACGTTGACTTTAAACCGCGAACTCACCGAAGCACATGCCGCAGAGACCTTGAAGGATCGTCAGCACGATCACCCAGCCGATTTCTCCCTTGCATTCGACGCCGAACACGAGGATCATGAAGACTAGCACCAGTGCGGTTTGACCGCACATGACGACGAACTGGGTGATCACGTGAGAGAAGAGGATTTCGCCGGGCGTGACGCCCGCCACCCAGCTTCTGTCCAGCAGACCCTCCATCCTTTCGATGATCAGAACGGACGAGGTCAGGGCCACCGCCAAGAAGAACACGATCCTGAAGAATCGAAACGTTCCCTCTTACGTACGAGCAAACCAACAAACTAGGGATACCTTGTTCTACACTCACGTCAAGATTACTCCCGGTGCCACGAAGTCGGTGAAACTGGGCTCGTTGGTGCCGTAAACTGGATCCTTGAACTGGATCGGGACGTCGGCCAGTTTCGTGTTTTGGTCGCAGGCTGACAAAAGGTCTTTGGCAAAGTCTCTGTACGAATACTGAAGATTTCTAGCTAGCATCAGACCGATCTGCTGATCTGTAAAGACGAAAGCATTGCAGAGTTAAAATATGAAACTCGTGAAATCGACGCTTTACGTAGTGATATTTATTTATTTATTATGCTATAACCCCCTATGGGATTATTAACACAAATTTACATAGAGACGAATCAACTATTAAGTACACATAAGGGGGTAAAAGAAATTAAGTTAGTATACGAGACAGTGTTCATTCCCTCGTACAGAGATGCGCGAAAGACGAAATTTGGGCACCCGGTCATGATTGGCAAGCGCGCGCATCAATCGCGGGCACTGCCGTAGGGCGGCCATCTTTGCAGTCGTCTTCCAACCGCGTGCGGGTACAGTGCTCGTAGTAGCGAGTTGTCTTATCGCGTGGCGTTAGAAACGTGTACTGTCGTCGTAAATTACACTCACTGGACATGTCCAGCCAGACTCTGATTTCGCTCTGCTCCAAAGTCTCGTCGTTGGCGTCCCTTCCTAGCACCATTCTCGCGACCAGAGCGTCCGTGAAGTTCTCGGTGAAATACAACGTTCCCCATGCGTCTCCTTTCCGCACGGCGTCCATCGCCGTGTCAGGATCCGGATAATACACCTGAAAGGCAAATTTAGTTCTCAACGATTCCGTTCAAACGATATAACATGGACCAATTTGTCTCAGAAACTTTACCTTGATCATCGTTTCGTTGTCCAAAAATTTCAGATATCGACAACTCAGGTGCGTGAAGTCGCAGTCCTTCGATATCGGACAGGACATGTTCTCGTAGAACATTTCGTGGTTCACTATCGCCAGTTTCAATCCCGTTGGATCTCTGCCGATTGCCAGGCAAAACAGGATCACTTGCATTACCGGAAGCGCGAAAATGAACAGCATCACTCTGTGGATAGAAGACCAAGCGGTTCGTTATTCTCATTCCGGTTTCCTCTTACAAGGTAAGGGCACGAACTGCTCGTCTTTTTAATGTACTTTTGCAAAATGGTAGTAGTTACCCTTTCGGTATATGCGAAACATTTGGTGTAGATGCTCGACACTTTCTAAGATAGAAATAATTAAAGACAATTATAGCTTAGGTCTGTATAATCCTGATTCATTAGTTTTTGTGTATTTTTGTATCGGAAGAAAATGTGTATCGAGCAGGAGTTCATTGTGTAATAGCGTTGCAATTTCACCAGGGTCTAACGACTGTGCAATGCAAACATTTCTATCTATCGCATAGTAAATATTAATATGCAAAAATATAGGAAACATTTCAAGTAACGTACAAGTTATTGTATTTAGAGATTGAGATAACCTTCTACAAAGCTTCCTTTCAGTAATTCTATTAATAAAAATATAAATTTGCATAAAGATCCACAGTGTACGTTAATTATTTATATCTTAATAAGTGTTGGGTATGTAATATTATATATAGACCAAAAGGGATAGCTTTACTATGATCCTGCAAAAGCATATCAAAGTCAAAGATATGCACTTTGGGTCCATTCTTTGTTAGATACTTTGGTTCCCCTCTGCTCACCCCACGTTTCTCCACATACGCAGAAAGTTCTTTTGCAAGAGCGCCTTCATTTTCCCGGTACTGCTTATCTTGTAACAGTCCGACAAATTCCCGCAATTGTTGCACTCCAGCGTCGAGCTCTTGGCGCCTGACAGTGGTTTCCCGTTCAGCTGTTCCGCAAAAACGTGCATGGTGATTCAGGGGAAAAAAGTCTCGCGTATATCGTGCTTGGTCTTTTTCGTTCGGAATAACCGCGAACGCGAAACTATTCAAGCAGAGAACAGATACGAGAATCTTTACGGTGCCTTACGTCGTAGTGGTTTCCAACGCCATTCGTCGAGTCGTTGATGAGCACTTCCTTGCTCTGATGGAAGTTCAGCCCCACGACGCCAGACTCCTCCGTCACGTAAACGGGCTCGTTCTTCTTGCCCCAGTTCAGGGAAGCCTGTTTCACACATTTTCGAGATTAGATCTTTACGGAAAATACTTGTTCGACGTTTCTCGTTGTCTTTCGAATGGAATAGACGTTACCAGACTAATGTTGTTCGAGATGTTCAATTCCGTGGGCGGTTGAGCGTATTGTCCCTGTTTCCTCGATAGTTTTAGGAAAACCTCCTCGAGAGACGTGCAGTTGTATATCGCGAGTAGAGCCCTGGGAGATTCCTCGGCCAGCAAGCGTCCGCTTCTCATCAAACCGATCTGTCGGTTTTCATTTTTATTAAGCAATTTTTCATGGATCTTTTTGTTTAATATTTATGTTATATATACGTAATAGATGAAATATATTTTTACATTTCAAAATAATATAGTAATTTGGCGGGGATTCGAACTCGCTACCAATGGGGTCGTAGCTAATTGCTCTACCAACTTACCCAATTTTATAAAGTAAATTTAAATAATTCTTTTATTATATGTGTAGCAAAATTTAAATCAAAATATCTTGAAAATGAAGAAGTTTTGATCAGATTTTGAAAATAGGAATATGATTAATTAGCTATTTTATACCAGCGAAGACTTTTTTTTTATTGTTCGTGGAAATTTGAATTTTTTATTGGCGGAAGAGATTTCGTGCATCCGAAACGACGTGCACTCTCTCGTTTCCGGTAACGAGACGAGTCGCGTGTAGCATGTAACAATAAAGTTGTCCGCTTGTACGATACCAGGAGCGTAAGAACGGTAATTAAGGGACGTTGGAAAACAAACAGACTCGTAATTTGCGGGCGACGTAACACTAAAGTGAATCAGCCAAACGGACCAAGAAACAGATTATGAACTCGAATCGACCAGTCATCGTGGCGATGCCTCGAGGTCGATTTGTCGATTCTTCCGACGACCGTTTTACGCGAAAGATCGTTGGAACACGAAGAAAAATGGAATGACGTTGCAACGAACGGTACAAATCGGCCCGATCGATCGTTTCGTAGCAATTAACTCGTAACAGTTTTAAGGTTCTAAAAACAACCTCTGTGTACCGTTTCTCAAACTGTGATTCTTCTTCTGGTTATTCGAAATACCATACCGTTGAATAATGTACGAAGAGAAACCGTGATTGCGTAATTTTAATATGCAATCGTTAACGTAATCGCTCGACTATTATTTCTGTGTGTACGTGTACGTACGTACCCGTGCATGTGAATCGGTTACCGTAATCGCGACGGTTCACAGGGGGTCAGAATTAATTCTTTCCACGTCAAACGTAATTAATCGTTTTCGTTCAAAGTGTTCGTTGAAAATATTCGTAATTATTGGAATATTTATTTTTGTAAATTTATCGATCGCAACGATTTAAGCAGGACTTGTAGCTTTTTTCGTTTGGATAGATTTATCGTTGAAATTGATTATTTTTTTTACCGTGTGCGCCTGTCGAGCCTCTTCGATATAGTGAGTGGTTATGATGACAGTTTTGTTGCCGTCTTTGGTGATTTGGACCAAGTGATTCCAGATACTGAAAAACAAAAATAAAACGTAACGAAAGGATGAGAAAAAATACTGTGTACCGTTATTTGACTATTCCAATTCTCTATCGGTATCTGTGCCTCTGTTTTATCGACAGAGGTGATGTTCTTTTCGTTCATCGTATCGAGATCGACCGAGAAAGTCGGCGAACGAACCGCGGAAGCCATGAATTCACCGCGGTGGCTATTGTTGGACGTAGAAACTTGAATTTCGAGAAACTAACGTGGACCACGAACGGTCGTAAACACCGTCGATCGCTATGAAACCGTGTGCACGCGCAATGACCCAAGGAAGCGCTCTATTCGCTTTCAAACGAGCATAATCGCATCGCGAACTTTCTCGCGGCTAATTAGGCCCCCCCTTTGTCGTCGTTTTACTTTCCAGCAAAAATACGAGATGGTACGGTTTACATGATTTTTCTCGAGAGCAAAACGACGGGGTCTGAACAAAAGAATTTTAAATAATAACCTGCACGGAACTCTTCGTCCAATCTCGCGTAATTATCGTACACTTTTATTCATGGAAATCGCGTGTGTACCGAAAATGCTGGGAGACTCGTTTTCTAGGTTAGGATCGACGCGACTGTCATGGTGGGCACCGGTGACCGGCACCCTGATCGAACTTTGACACTATAATATTCTGCAAGACTCGAGATTTTTACGATCGTGAACTACATAACCTAAAACTTGTACTTATTCTCGTTTCTGAGCTATACAGATTTCCCTCGACGTCTTGAAAATTAATTTATCTAGTTTCATAGTGGACAATCCATTCGTATTTTGGTGACGTGACAGTCTAAGTGTTAATACTTATTTGTTAATAATGTCAGTGTCGTTTGGAATACATACGAAGTGCAAGTGATTTGAAAAAACATGGAGAATATCTGTTCCCAGAGACAGAGAAAACTGCAATAGAACGCGTTAAGATCGAAGCTAGTGCGCATGCGCGAGTCGTAAACAACGATCGGCCGTTGTCGCGTTCGCGTGAATTTGTTAATCCTGTTGCAAAGAGTCGCGAGAGGTGCAGGATGGCTCGATCAAAGTATTTTTCAATCGAAATCGGTGTCGTTAAATCCATTCTACGGCGCGACGTATCGATTGCGAAATTGTTGGGGGGGGGGCACGTCACACGCTGGACGAAGTAGGTTAAGACAACTGCTAAGACGACGTTTTCCACGTTCCACCTTGGCCGATGATAACACAACGGTCGAAGTCCCCCCTCCCCCTCTCTTTTACGATGCAGCTAATTCGAAAGCGAGTCCATTGTAAATTACACGCATCCTTAGTGGTAGCTACGATCGTCGGATGGCGATAGTGAAAAGGAAATTTATCGGTCGTCGTAAACGGCCGGGGCTCGATAAGTGTAAATGTAAATCGCGTACATTCCTGCATCGGGCTCGGATACGATAAAACGACCGTCTAGCGTGCTTTTCAACATTCCTCTCTTTCTCTCACTCCCGTGTAATTGAAAAGCGGCCGGTGCGCAGCCTCGTAATTTCATAATACGAATTTCATTCGACCGACACCGGCCGACAAATATTTACTACGAATAGACTTTTCAGCAATTTCGAAACCTCTTACCAGCTCCTTACTTTCTGCTCTTTAAAATTACTGGGCGTTACGGTCGTAACATAGTACCGGAGTCTAGATCGTCCGGTTAAACCCCCCCTTGTTTTACGATTTGTTTTCGAGCAAATGTGCTGTTTGACGCGGTTGGTGCCGCCATGGTGGTCACCGGTGACCGACACTAATATTTGTGTTGCAATATTGTTTACAATGCAAGAACTCTAATTCTTGTAACATTATAAATAATGCTACTTTGATTTGAAATATTGTAAAATAAATTCACCATTAAATTAGACACGTTGATTGCTACGGTGGTCACCGGTGACCGACACTTTGAACCTACAACGATTGCAATATTTTTACAATGGAAGAAGTCTAATTCTTGTAACATTGTAAATAATGCTGCTTTGAGGTGAAATATTTTAAAATAAGTTCACGATTAAATTATACACGGTGGTCACCGGTGACCGACACTTTGAACTTACAACACGTTGCAATATTCTTACAATGGAAGAAGTCTAATACTTGTAACGTTGTAAATAATGCTGCTTTGAGGTGAAATATTGTAAAATAAATTCACCATTAAATTACACACGTTAATTGCCATGGTGGTCACCGGTGACCGACACTTTGAACCTACAAAGTGTTGCAATATTCTTACAATGGAAGTACCCTAATTCTTGTAACATTGTAAATAATGCTGCTTTGAGGTGAAATATTTTAAAATAAGTTCACGATTAAATTATACACCGGTGGTCACCGGTGACCGACACTTTGAAGCTACAACGATTGCAATATTTTTACAATGGAAGAACTCTAATACTTGTAATATTGTAAATAAAGCTGCTTTGATTTGAAATATTGTAAAATAAATTCACCATTAAATTGCACACGTTGATTGCCACTGGTGGTCACCGGTGACCGACACTTTGAACCTACAAAGTGTTGCAATATTTTTACAATGGAAGAACCCTAATTTTTGTAACATTGAAAATAATGCTGCTTTGATTTGAAATATTGTAAAATAAATTCACCATTAAATTACACACGTTGATTGCCACTGGTGGTCACCGGTGACCGTCATAGTAAAATAACAAATTTACCATTGAACTATCGAATATTTCTAAGTTTCACAATTTGAACAAATATCGAGGACATCTTTGAACAACCTGGCACAATTGTTATAAATAAAATTAACATACTTTAATTTCTATCAAATTTTCCAAGCTATTCCCAAATAATGTATCTGAATATTTCAACGAGTGTTAAAGTCGAGTCATATAGAGGGGCCTCGCCCTTTTCACTTAAAAGGGTGATCGTTTATCGCGAAATTTAATGCTCGTTTAGCGTCTATCGTCGAAATTCCTTGCTTCTTCCTAGTCCTTTCGACGAAACCTTGGCCTTTGTAGAATTTAAATATTTCTCGAACATCGATCCACGATTAATCGCTATCGAAACTGGTTCCACGCCATTTTTGACGGACTTTCGAATTGCTACGTTTCGTCCGCGAATTAATTCGAAGGAGGAGTCGGGAGCTAGAAATAATCGCTACTCGAACACGTGGAATTTTTACACCTTTCGATCGTAACGTTTCGAACCAAAAATGGCGTCTAAATAAAGGAAAGTCTTTTTATTTCGTTAAAAGCGAGGAACAAATAAGTTGCAGAAATAGTTGCAAAATAAAGTGAAAATACTCAATTATTATGCCATTACAGTGCATAATAATCTCAAAAAATAAATATAGAATCAAATATATGATAACGTGACTTATAAACTTTAATGCTATTATTACACTGCGGATTTTTATGCAAATTAATATTTTTCTCAACAGAGTCAATAAAATTGGAGCTTTGTAGAGGCTTTGCATCAACCCCTAAACGCAATAATTAACCCCTAAACGCTTACCATAAGAATATCTCTTACAGTTTTGAATATCAAACGCATTCTATAGTTTTTCGAGAATTAAAATGCATAGAGGTCCATAGTCTAGTTGTAACATCGCGTAATTTTGCATCATAACAAAAATTCTCAGTCGCGAATTAAATGTCTCACTTTCCACGAACGTTCGAATACCGATTTCGATGTATCGAAAACTTCATCTGGAAATATTTGCATAGTCTCAGAGGGAACTCACCTTTGTCTTAGCAACGGATCCACACCAACAGTGGGCTCGTCGAGGATGAGGAGCTCGGGATCGTGCATCAGGGCCACAGCGAAGGACACGCGTCTTTGCTGGCCACCGCTGAACAGCAACAAAATAAGAACAATTCTCACATTAACAAGTATATTCGATCAGAACAATGCGAGACGAAAGATTAGAAAAATGGTAAACGAAAGAGATCTCGAAATTCATTCGCGATTACTTCGTAGCTGTTCGTATTACCTGAGATTCTTCACCAGTCGATTCTGGGAGGGCAGATCCAAGAATTGCAAGAGAAATCGTAGCCTGTCCGCGATCTCCGCGGTGCACATCCCGAATATCCAGCCAAAGTACATCATCGTCTCGCGAATCGTGAACTCTCCGTAAAGGGCGATCTCTTGAGGCATGTAGCCAACCCTTTTTCCTGGAACACCGGATCCTTTCGTGCCCGGTTTGCCTCCTAGGACCCAAATCTCGCCCGAGTTTAATCGTCGTCGACCCACGATGCATGAAAGTAGGGTAGTTTTACCGCATCCGCTGGCGCCTAGCAACCCGTATCTGATCGACAAAATCATTATTACTCCAATTTACTTATTTATCTATTAAAATTCAATCCTAGTTGACGATACACAGGAGAGAAGAGAGTAGGTTCATAGTTGATTACAATTTAACCCTTTGCACTCCAAGAATTCATTTCAATAGAAGCACCCGCTCGAATGCAATCTTTTTACGCCATTTTAAAGAATATTAAAATTTTTTTCCCCCCCGGAGAAATTTATAAATTTCTTCGTTTCGTTAATTAGGTTTGCGTTACTATACGTAAATATTAAATCGAGTTGTGCGTGAATATTACGTGGTGCAAAGGGTCAAACCAAATGCACTTTTTGTACCAATTCGTCCAATATTTTTAACACTAGATTTACGGGTATTGATCGCACGTATATTTATCGATACCTTTCATGTTGACAATTACCTTAAAATTTTCTTTTAATTAGAATCTGTATTCTCGCCATTGCATCGATCAAATCCAACATAAGTTGTTAAAAAATAATATTTACGCGTTCTGCAATTTTAAATATGGAATCAGACATCCGTCGAATTGATGGCTTCCGTAAATCTAGTGTTAATAGTTTGCGATATTGCAAATACGTTTTACAAGCCTCTGCTTTGAGGGTTCATTTCAACCCTTCAACGTGGACGTTAAAAAAAAATGAGAGTCAAATATTGAAAAAAACAGTCGAATTTGTTTTATTCCGGAAATTACGAGCTCGAGCAGAGAATCAGGCGCGCCGTAACGCGTAATCGTTTTACGAACTGGAGGATCGTGGAAGATCGTCACGTTCCACCGATCTTGTTCCTTATAGCTTTCTAAAAAGCTTCGTTCCCCTTTGCTTCTGCCCAATTAACGAGAATTTTAATTTTACAAATTTTAATTGCCTCGATCTTTTTATCCTTGCTTTTGGGGCGCTTGAGTTCACAACGAGAACTCATATTATAGAATCGAAGACATTTCACACGTAACGAGATGAGATAATTGTCGTTGTTGGAGTTTCCTAGCCTTGAAAGCGATAGATGTTGTTAGGTGTCTTTTAAGACTTACATGGATCCCTTGGCCACGGTCATGCTAAGATTCTGTATCACGTGGTTGGGGTTTTTGCTGCTCCCGTACGTTTTGAACGCGTGCCTGACGCTGACCGCTTGCTGGCGATTCCACGCGGGGTTGTTCAACCCCGGTGTCGCCAGTACCGTGCTGGGCGTCATCGTCGCGTCCAGCGTGCTGTCCGAATTGTTCTGCATTGTTCCAAGAGCGTTCGCGTTCACCAGACCGCCTCCGCCGCCTGCTGTCCCGTCACTGGAAACCGGGAAAAGAAAACCTTTATCACGCCTATCCACTTACGGGTCCATTGTTCCCCCCGAACGCTCGAACAAACAGAAACCCGCGAAGAAGAGACCCGGAAAAGCATCGCGTTCCACGCAATTTACACGCACGAAGAGCGTAATATACCCTGATAGATGCCTAGTATATGAGAATTCTCTCATTTCTAAAAATATTCTCAAGTTTCGAATCTCCCTGTTCGTCATTTGCACTTGCAAACACTTTGTTATCCTAATTCGTTGATCTCTGTACACACTAGGATGTTTTAACCCCATTAACGCTCATATTTTTCGGGTCAACCAACGATGGTCAGTTTCCTTTATTGAATTTGTTTCTAAAAACACGGTTTTTGTTAATTACAATGTTATATCTAACGTATAATTTGAAGGAAAAGAAATATTATTTTTCAAAAAGCAGTCAGACTAGGGCATGAAGGTTAAGGGGTTAATCTCACCCTATCTCCTCTATTCCCGTTTTTAGAGCTTTTAAAATCAATTGCATTATACGTTTATTCGAGTATTTATTAATTTTTTTGGTACAGATAAATGCACCATAAGTGTTGGTAGTTGTAATGTTAAATAGAATGGTTAATATCTTTTCCCACGTTTCGACAAAGCATTAAATTTTACGTAAATGGTGTGGGGGGTCCATAGCCTTCAGTACTCGCCGCCAGAGGGCCACGCTCTTGTGTTTCTCGCAAGCGCTCGACCGATTCCCACTATTTTTCATTTTCCATCTCATCGACAGGACTTCTTAAAAGTATTATACTAAATTCCGACTCGTTATTGTGCAGTAAGGGGTATTACAGTTCAGTCGAATTAATTAATCTTATTAATATTAAATTAATATTTATTAATTTTAAATTCGTGTCATCGACGGGGAAATCACGAATATTCATTCGATACAAAAAGTGTCGCGATCCATCGAATCACACGCGGTCCACTCGACCTATCGAATTCAATGATATCGATAGATTTCGATAGATCGCGACGCGGCTCTAAATTCAAAGTCTCGAATACCTCGCGATAGATCGAATCGTGGGTTCCGTTCGACCTATCGAACGTATCGATATCGATAGATTTCGATAGATCGCGACGCGGCCCCATACTCCGGAGCCTTGGATAGCACGCGACCGAGCTCCGGGACAGTCCGGATCGTACGGGTTTAGAAAGAGGGAGCCGTTACGTAAGAAAGCAGCTTTCTTTTCGCTCACGCTCGCCGGTTCATTGGGCAATCTATCGACGTACTGGTATCCGTGAGCCGTTTATACCGCCGACAGAGTCGCAAAGCTGTTCCTGAGGACGCTGGGAATCGTTTCGTTACGACTTCTCCAAGGCCGTTCGGATTCTCATTTCTCCGCCGCAGTTTACACTTTCGCGAGTTTTTTTTCGAACAATTACGGTCTATTTATTTGCACCGAAAGAATTAATAACAGATTCTCGAAGAAATAGTTCTCTTTAGAAAGCTACGGTAAATTCGCAAAAAATCCGGTTCGTAAAACTGAACTTTTTATTAGAAATAACGAATCGTTTTGACCACTTCCAGTAGGTGTGTTGTAACAAAAGATTTCCAACGCGTAACAGTAATAGTAATAGTAATAGTAATAGTAATGGTAGCTAAGAGTCGGAACAGCTGGTCGATGAGATAGCCAGTTCAGTTTTCTCGAACAGTCGCGTAACACTCGATTGTTTTCGGATTAAAGTTTTCTTGGAGGCTGTCTCGATCAGCTGTGGGATCTCGAGGCTCCTGGCGTTGCGTAACGCGCGTATAGATCTCGACGAAGAGGCATCGATCGATAGGAATCGCGGACAGCAAAGGTCGGGGATCTCGGCGTCGATTGGATCGATCGACGGGGAACCGAGCAGCGGCAGCTTTCTCGGTTGTTCCCGCGAATCGAACCGGCTCTCGATCAACGATTCCGTCGCGGTTAAGTAGCGGCTGCGATTGCGCGAAACGCACGAGGAAAAGCCAACACACACGGGGTCCCCGCGTTTCGTAACAGAACCGAGCGGATACACAACCGTCGAAGAAAGCTACGAAGACGTTTCTACCGTCTCCGCTGCCGGGAGAATCATCTTTCCGCCGAGACAAACCTACCATCTAACAGTTTACGCTATAATCGAGAATGTTTCCGGATGGAACGTCCGACAACCTAAAGTTAGGAGCAGCTAGACGCTAGACAACTTGCTCGTTTCCATGGAAGCGTACAATGTTAGTATCGAATAATAGATTTTAATGGGCAGTGCCTTCTTTTACAAACTTATGCAAGTTAAATCGATCAGAGAGTTGTTTTTGAGACGATTAACCGAGAAAAAGAAGTTTGGTTTTAATTTGTCGGCCATCTTGGAAGATGTGTTATTGTAAAGTCGCCATCTTTGAAAGGTCCACCTGATACCTAAACTTATGCAAGTTAAATCGATCAGAGAATTGTCTTTGAGACGATTAACCGAGAAAAAGAACTATCGTTTCAGTTTGTCGGCCATCTTGGAAGATGCGTCCTCGTAAAGTCGCCGTCTTTGAAAGGTCCACCTGATACTTAAACTTATACAGATTAAATCGATCAGAGAATTGTCTTTGGGACGATTAACCGATAAAAAGAACTATCGTTTTAATTTGTCGGCCATCTTGAAAGATGCGTCGTTGTAAAGTCGCCATCTTTGAAAGGTCCACCTAATACCTAAACTTATACGAATTAAATCGATCAGAGAGTTGTCTTTGAGACATGTAACCGAGAAAAAGAAGTATCGTTTTGATTTGTCGGCCATCTTGGAAGATGCGTCGTCGTAAAGTCGCCATCTTTGAAAGATCCATCTGATACGTTTTATTATACGAAACAACGTGAGGCGTTTGCACAAATTATTACAATTTAACGAGCAGTATTCCTTTTTACGAGGATTTTCTTCGAAACGAGTGCCCGAGGAAACAAATAGTTTTAATTTGTCGGCCATCTTGGAAGATGCGATGTCATGAAGTCGCCATCTTTTTTTTACGAACTTATACAACTAAAACAGAGTACAAAATAATAAAATATAGTAACAGACATGTAAATGTAAAAATATTTTTAGTTTTCAATGATGCATTATTAAGTCAGAGAGGACATCTTGTAATATTCAGGCTCCTATTATTTTTGTTGCCTCAAATGTTAAATCTATCGAGAATTGTAATATCACTATCGAGAAGTAGAAATATTTTGAGATCAGAAACAGTAAGAGTTTGCAACGTTGAGAGACTGTACGTAAATCGTTAATAAAAATGATAAATAATCACAGAAAGAACATCGATCTGATTCTATTATATTTGCTGGCGACTTGTTAGGTAATAAATATAACGAAGTTGCAACAGCGTTAGATAATCGCTTAGGTTTAGCTGCTGACACTTATTGTTATTCCGAGTTATTCAGCAAAAAGACCTGATTTTTTTCTCCCATAATGGGCGGAGCAAGGAATCGCAAGTCAGCTATTTAGCACAATGTATGGAAACGAAGGAAAAACAACACCGGAAAGTTTATCGTAATTACACATGGAAATATAAGCTATTAAATGGAACGAGGAGAATCGCTCGATTTATGAAAGGATCTGTAATTTTTTTGTTCAAATTAGTGAATAACAACACAAATACCATTTAAACATTTGAGAAATAGACTTTCCACATTTCTACACCCCTGGGAAACATTTTAATGGGGGATTCTATCGGCCAAAATAAGACGAAAATCAAGAATATCAATTTCTTGAGGCTTCATTAAAAAGTTATTAACAAATTAAATTCAAAACTTTCAAATCATTTTGAAAAAATTAATTCGGTTGCGGGGGTTAATTACAAGCATTTTTGGTGAATAGACATACCCCCGAAATCCTACCCACTTTCGAGAAAAAAATTCGAATAGGTACTGAAATTTTTAGGTGAAATTAGAAAATTTCAAATCATACTAAAAAAATTATATTTAGTTACAGCGGTCAATTACAAGCATTTTTGGTGAATAGACATACCCCTGAAATCCTACCCACTTTCGAGACAAAAATTCGTATAGGTACTGAAATTTTTAGATGAAATTAGAAAATTTCAAATCATACTAAAAAAATTATATTTAGTTACAGCGGTCAATTAAAAGCATTTTTGGTGAATAGACATATCCCCGAATTCCTACCCAGTTTCGAGAAAAAAATTCGAGAAGATGCGAAATTTTTTGACAAAACTGAAAATTTCCAAATCGTTAAAAAAAAATTATTTTCAGTTGCGGGGGTTAATTACAATCATTTGTTATTAATACACATACCCTCGAAATCCTACCCAGTTTCGAGAAAAAAATTCGAGAAGGTGTGAAATTTTTCGACGAAAAAGAAATTTCAAATCGTTTTGGAAAAATTATTTTCGGTTTCGGGGGTCAATTACAATAATTTTTGGTGAGTAGACATACCCTCGAAATCCTACTCACTTTCGAGAAAAAAATTCAGTAAGGGCGTAACTTTAAACGTTAATAACTTTTTAACGAAATCTCAGTCGAGAAATTGGTATTCTTGATTTTCGTCTTATTTTGGCCTCTAGAACCCCCCATTAAAATTTTTCCCAGGGTTGACCTAACACCCTGTATATTTCTGCATCATAGAATTCACATATGAATTAAATAAATCTTGTTTATGTATCGCTAGCCACTCTGAAAAGTGTTCATATAGTATATAAAACGATGCATATCGGTATTTTTCTATTTGCACGTCTGTTACTATATTTTTCCATTACCTTAGTATTTCATAATTCTGTTTTAGCTTCGTAAGTTTGTTAAAAAGGGCCCATTGAAACGTATTAGCCAATAATAATGGTGGTTGGTGCTTAAAAAAGTATCGCGTGTAAAGTTGGGAGGAATCTCGCGTCGCGAAAGCAATTATATCTATCAGGTAGCGAATGGTTCCGTAACGCGGATATCACAGTCGTGCGATAATCAACGACCAGGTATTCGCCGGAGATAGGACACGTGTCTCTCG